CTTTTTTAAACGTATTGTTAGGCATGCCCTATCACTGAAAAAAAATAATTTCGAATTACATGTCACGTTCTGCTTATCAACACATACGTGCGTCTGGGTCTGCATTTTTTTTCGTGACGAAAGTAATGTTTTTACCTTGACAATGAACATAGTCGCAATCGTGATCACGGGTGGAATCCAAGAAAAAGATCGCGCTGGTTCAAAAACGTTCCGTGTTCTGTGTTCCACAAACATTTTTCAATGTGACTGATGTCTCTGTCTTTCTGTACATTCTGTCAATATTTTCACACTTAAGTTGTTTGATGCTGTGTGTGGGCGTATGTCCGACATCGAACTTACGCAGTGGGTATATGGATCGGACCACAGACACAGTACTGAAAGACTTGGTCTACAGTTGGACAGTTGGACATTTGCTTCGATTGAATACAATTTGTTTGTCAGTCGGTCCTAGTTAATGAAGAAAACATTAGTTTTTAACTTCTTTATGCAGATGCTCTTGTTCAAGGGATATATCAAAATATACTTTGAAATAAGAACATTTTTAACATGTTCGTAACAATCCAGTAAATCCTCTGATCCGACACCAGCCCCATCACACACCTGTATACATTATGACGGGCATTGTGACACACACATGTAAAGAGTTATTTGTTTCTGTCAATCAAATTAACTTTACTATGGCAACGAGCAAACCATAGTGTCCTTTCACAATCGAAACCACAAACTGGTCTTTTAAGGATATTGATTTTCACAGCAGTACTGCAATTATGGCCACTATGTGATAATCGACTTATAGTCATTGCCTCGGAGGATATTTGAAAACTGGAGGAATGGATACTTCTTCACGCAGCGGGGAGAATTGAGTGTCATGGTGTTTTAATTTTTTTTGACTAGGTTCAGTTACAGGTAAACCGGTTTGCTTATCGGCGTAACGAAGTGGGATTAAACATATGGTGTTGCTGACTTAGTAACCGGCTCGGAAAACCCCGCCCAGAACAATGGATTATTCTGCGAGGTGGCGGCGGATTAGGGTCGACCAGCATATTGAAAGTTGGCCGTGAATGACGCGTGGTGGCCACAGACGAGTTAACGCAGATTACGACTGAGAGGTGTTGTTTAAACGCTTGAATCGCCCCTAATTAGCAATTGTGATAGGTTGATACCGCAGTAGGTATGTGATCCGGGCCGGTATAGCGACGATATTGGCTCTGATACTGGATATATTGGTGAACAATGAAGGAAAACTATGGGGAACAACCGTGACCTAAAGCAGGACACATCTGTGGCTGTAATGCAGGCTACCATTACACAAAGTGTTCAGGTTAAGTGTGGTTGACGTAATGGACTTCTGTTCACACATTCAGTGATCCCCGACACCTTCGTACCAGCGGAAAGCACAATCCTATCTGTGGGGGATGCACGTGGTAAGTTGACAGCCGTGAAGACTTGTGGGAAGAACCGCTTGTCAGTACTTGACTTTTTCAGAGACCTCATGCAGATATCTGGTCACTGACTTCATACTTACATAGTTGACCTCCTCCTCACTGAAATAACTACTTGTCGTCTTCAGGACATCTTATATCAACTCTTAGCCTCGATAAATTCTCCTTTTTTCAACTCTGTAATACATAGTTCCTTCTCTTTAGCCTGATACGGTGGACCATTTGCTGGCTTGTCACCACGGACATGCGCATATACATCGAGACTCCACTAAGGACACATGTTGCGCATGGTTGACCATATCGGAGCTGATGAGTCACCACTAACAGTTCAGCCGACTATAGTCGTCACGGAGAACGACCTCCGTGTCACAAGATCCAAATAATATAACCTGCTGAATCGTCAGTATTTCTATGCCGGTCTCGTTCTTCGAAGTGAGCAGGATAAATGTCGTGACATACTTCAATGGCCTATGTCCTCATTCAGTATGAGTGTGGAACCTCTATACGCCTATGAAACGCACACGTGCTACAAGTCTGATGCCAATGTAATGTGAGTTTGCTTCTGTGTACGCCCATAAGAGACATGGATACAGAATATGGATCACTGGTTAATGCCTCGCAGTAGGGGGTCATCTGTTGGAGCTGGACACGAGACAAGAACATTACCAGCTTAAGCCATGGACTTCTGTGGAATATAATACTGGAATCATGCGAAGAAAACTGCCTTCCTGCAGACAGTTGTTACCAGTTATTTGACAGTGTAATGAATGGTAGAAACTGGTCCAGCTCATACCATGAGTGGAGTGTTTCTTGCGTTTCAGCAATTTGGAATGAACTATGTTTTCTTTGTTGGTATATATACCCAACGGTTGCAGACACGCGCTCTTTGTCGTGATATAACTGCTTGTCGACAACCGGACAGCGGCGGTGACATAGGCCTGCACTGACACTGTGCTGTCTTCCAGATCTGATCGATTACCCCGGCGACTGTGATGACGTTCTAGCGTAACGAGGCCTGGGGGACGGGTCTGTGGGTAGATCGACGACATACCCCTGTCATTTGTATGTGTAATCCATATGGGGAGGGACCTGTGGGAAGGTGGAGGGTATACTCTAGGCACCAAGCCGTCTACCTACCTATATCGTGTCACCCTGTGGCTTCACAGCCAGTGTTGGCATCATTACGAACACCCTGGTGACATGTTCACTGTTCGCTGAGGAGTAGCTTCAGTCGACCCATTGAGGACGTCCACATTTCCCCTCTGAGAATGGATATTACCCAGACAATGTCTCTGTATGACTACCTAATCTAGGTGTAGTAGTACTACAGAAGTGACGTACACATTGCCTCATGGAAGGATGAAGTTCTCGCGTTCTTGGGATCTCGGAACGATACTGTATCGCGGAATTCGAGCAATGGGGGTGTGTATAATATATAACGTGACAACCATGAAGGTTGAGGACACATTCACCCGGATAATTCCCTAGACTCGCGTCGATCTGAACGCCACAGCATGGGTGGCTATGATCACTGCGACTTTGAGAACGTGCGACTGAACTCGGTGTCGTTGTTCCAGCTTGACGTGACGATGACGGGGTGGAGGAGGCGGGGGAGTACGAGGACGCGGAGGAGAACAAGAGTAAGACAATTAAACACTTATTTTACTCCCAGCCCGTCTACAGTCTTATGTAAACTTATTAATTGACGATACACGTGGTGATTCCCGATAAGAATTTAGGTCTTAAGCAGCCTATGTTTGTCATAAGAGGTGACTGGATGGATCTGGTGGTCAGGCTCGGCGACTTGGTTGATGAAGGTCATCATACCCAAATTGCGTTGATCGATGCTAATGATGTCAATCAGTGGATTCTAAATCCACACCAACTCTCGCTGAACGTTTTTGATTTTTTTCTGTCTCTGTATACAAACGATAGATACGATTAATGTGGATTCCGACAGAGAGTTGCTACTCTCGAAGATGTTACTGAGATTAAGTTTAAGCATTTATGCAGCATTTGCAGTTGTACGAACACCGAATATAATATACCACAATTTTCCTTTTGTATTGTCAAACATTCTGTAAAAACCTAATGCTTTTGAAAACGTTTCTCAGGGGAAATTGAAGGACGAATGTATGGTTTGCAACATCTGATCTCCCTAATCTAATCATTACTGAGTAGTGCTGACGATGTGACATGCCACTGTGACACCACCCACAGATACAGGACCGTCGACAGCACCGATAAAGGGTCACATGACTACACGGGTCAGGAGGAAAACAGCATTACCAAAAAGCCTTACGTGGATCGTATTTGCGTGGCGTGTCCCTCAAGCCGAGTCTATGGTGTATGGGAGAACTATAAAAAAAACCGTAGGAACGTCCTAGGATCTGAAGCCCTCAGCTGAAGAGTATGTTCTGTGCCACCTAGTGACGCGTGAGGGATGTGGATGCCATGCAGCAGGGCCCTTGTCTACTGACTGCAGTACATAGGCCCATAGAGCTGGCAGTAGGTTCGTGCTTGGAGCCAGTCTAGATTAATAGTTCAAAGGCCAGGCCATCACATAAACGTTCAGATGTCGTTACATTAAAGTTCAGAAGCCGGTCTAGATGTGGTCACATTAAAATTCAGAAGCCAGCCTAGATGTGGTTACATTAAAGGTTAGACGCCAGCCTAGATGTGGTCACATTAAAGTTTAGACGCCAGCCTAGATGTCGTTACATTAAAATTCAGAAGCCAGCCTAGATGTGGTTACATTAAAGTTCAGAAGCCAGCCTAGATGTGGTTACATTAAAGGTTAGACGCCAGCCTAGATGTGGTCACATTAAAGTTTAGACGCAAGCCTAGATGTCGTAACATTAAAGTTCAGAAGCCAGCCTAGATGTGGTCACATTAAAGTTCAGAAGCCAGCCTAGATGTGGTCACATTAAAGTTTAGAAGCCAGCCTAGATGTGGTAACATTAAAGTTCAGAAGCCAGCCTAGATGTGGTCACATTAAAGTTCAGAAGCCAGCCTAGATGTGGTCACATTAAAGTTTAGAAGCCAGCCTAGATGTGGTTACATTAAAGTTCAGAAGCCAGCCTGGATGTGGTCACATTAAAGTTTAGAAGCCAGCCTAGATGTGGTTACATTAAAGTTCAGAAGCCAGCCTGGATGTGGTCACATAAATGTTCAGAAGCCAGCCTAGATGTGGTCACATAAATGTTCAGAAGCCAGCCTAGATGTGGTCACATAAATGTTCAGAAGCCAGCCTAGATGTGGTCACATTAAAGTTCAGAAGCCAGCCTAGATGTGGTAACATGAAAGTTCAGAAGCCAGCCTAGATGTGGTAACATGAAAGTTCAGAAGCCAGCCTCGATTTCATTCCATAAAAGCTCAAAAGCCAACCCAGAGACACCTACTAGTAGAGAGGTTCTGAGCCCTACAGGGGGATATGATATAACTTCGTCAGAATTACGTGATATGTTTGTCAGGTTTTAGGCCAGATATTTCTTGTTTTGTTTCTAGGTACATTTATAGGTATTTTGTTATGTGAGTTGGCTCATGTCAATACGTATATATGGAAAATTGTATTTATTCACGCAACACAGACAATTAGAAACTACATTAAAATGTTGCTCTTGACGATTTTTATGAAAGGCAACACAACGCCCAACTGTCCAAAACTGCCCTCAAGAGTATTTCCTGCAGGTGCCGGCTCTGAGGTTGTCCTGGTGCAGAACAGACATCTACAGGATACGCCAAGAGTGCGATGGACCAGGTGCTTGATACTGATGATGCACGATGTGGGGACTCTTCCTATATTACTGATACACAGGCCTATTTTGTGTAGCGTTTATAAAACCTTTTGGCCGTCACATTCTGTTTCAGCGCCACGAAGGTCTGAAAGAAAGGATACAGTAGATATATATACACTGTAATCACTCAATCATAAGACAAGACTGTGTCGGTATACTGAGCTTCTATGATACTGCACCCTGCCCACCATGCTGTCTGACTGGCTTATCATTTCGGAGTTCTTCTCTTACCATACAAAGTGATGCAGACAGACAGACAAATTTATTCGGTACTTCAGGCCACTGGCCAATAATACAATGGAAATATACTGTATATATATTTTTGCATGCTGAGTAGATTTAATAATGATTTACCGTTCAACACTGTGTTTCCGTTCGAATGTTCATGACGTGGAAGACAAATTTCGTTTTCAGCTGACATAAATCTTATAAAATTCTCAATAGAGGGAGGGGGGGGGGGGGGGGGGGGGGATGTAACGAGACGCTTGGGAAAAGAGTTTCTTCTTGCTCTAGAATACTGGTCACAAATCATAAGAACGTGGAATTCATCTTCAACATGGTTATGTCCCTTCGAAAAACAGAAGTGATGCGTGTTATCTCGTCCAGACGTTAGGGTTGTGTTATACTGACGACGATATCTAGCCGTTCTCACGCGTATCATGTTCAAACAACTTAGAATTACCAAAAGGGTACTTTCGAGAGAAAAACAATTGGTGACTATGTATGAAACTGTTGTACTCTTTTCAACAATTCTTGTTTTTCTGCCTTTGAAATGCATGATCCCGTTTCTTCTTTGGGTGTGCCAATTGGGAGTATTTGAAGACGCTTCGTCTACTTTTCTAATGTTGGCGCATAGCCGAGGCCAGACAAAACATGCTCACGATAACCAGCGTCTCCCCTTCAACCTCTCGCGTAATCGTCGAGTTCTCGCCACCTTCCTTCACGGCCGTCTGGTGGTGTATCAGTTTATCGCCTTCCAGGGCAAACGTCGACTGTTAAAACAACATTGGGAGAACTAAAAATATTAGTCGTATGGAACAAAGCCACCTGTCAGTGCACGTGGAAGTGGCACGTGTGCTCCGTCGAATGCAACAAGGGTTCGACGTTGTGAACTATCTTTGACGGTTTCTCTGTCAATGCAAGCGATTTGGGCAAGATCTATTTTTTGTATAATTATATACTCAAACAAGGTAATACAAACTTCATAGCGTGAATGTTTTATGTAGCTTAAACATTGTTACACTCGACAGACCTTGACTTTCCTTCCATCCATGGTCTCTTCTTCAAATTCCTCCCCGAGCTTGAATTTTAATTGAGCGTTCTTAAAAGTTGATGTGATGTGGATGTCCCAGCAGTCGCCATCCTGCTTGATTTCCTCGTAGCTCGTGAGAGAGAGGCCCACTTTTCTCACCAGAATGTTCACACCTGCAGCGACACGTGGAGGTAAACTCAAGCCCGGTATACCACAGCCCCGGCTACCCACAGTAAATACATCAACAAGTGGAAATATACGTGGCAACCTTGTCAACTATCGGGCTTTCGAACAGAAGCTTCTATAGATAACACCATGATAACACCATGGACAAGTCGTCAGATACATGACTGGGCGTGGTGGCCTTGAACCAGCCGACATATCAGTGAAGTGTCCTACATGCACTCAGTGTGTGGCGAATAATACTTACTTATACTAATACTAATAAAGGATGGCCCAAGCCAGTGTGGAAATTCAGAGACAGGTGCTAAAATTATGTCGGCTAAAAATATGCATTTCGGAGACATTTCGGAGAGGTTGACAAAGAGAATTGAACGACATGTAGTTAGTAAAGTTAGAGATCTTTTACTTTCCCACTTCACTTGAAACTAGACAAGTGTTAGTGTGCTAGGGGTAATGTGTAGCACGTGTTATTTGAACCATGCATCTACGACATGCCTACTGACCGACAGCCTTCATGTAGTCGTCCATGTTTTCGTGACGATCCAACTGCCAGTTTCCTAGCAACGCTGCCATGTTGTATACCTGCCAATCACCAGCCAAATTAATCGCGTGTATATGTTTATTACATGCAACAATATAACATCATAGATAATGACATGGTTTTATGAACTGGCTTTCAGCCATTAGTGACAGATAATCGATATCGTTGACAGCAAGATCGGGTTTGGGATTACTGATGCAGTAATGACTTACCACGAACACGTGGACGTGTGAAATTATGTGGGCGACTTCACTTACTTGACTTTCTCAACTTGTTCATCGGAATGACTCTACCCTGTGTTACCACTGTAAATACGTGCATTCTGAGACGAGAGGGGGTGATAGTGTTCAGCAGACACCAACACAGCCTCTCCTCTACCTGGGCGGTCGGGTAGCCTAGTGGTTAAAGCGTTCGCTCGTCACGCCGAAGATCCGGGTTCGATTCCCGACATGAGTACAATGTGTGAAGCCCCTTTCTGGTGTCCCCCGCCGTGATATTGCTGGAATATTGCTAAAATCGGCGTAAAACCATACTCACTCACTCACTCACTCATTCTCCTCTACCTTACATAATTATATTCTTTATTATCAGTCGAGGTATGGCGACCACGTTGGTTGACTCCACACCCCACACCCCCAACCACCCCACCACCTCTTTACAGCATTATAAAACAAGTATAAATATGACATATACTCCAAACACTCAAAAAATATATATCCATATACACACACGGTGATATATCTCTACACACATGACCACCTACCTGTTTCTTGTATAAGGATGCTCTGGTCCTTGACTCCTATAGTGCTGTGAATTTGTAGGTCTAAGTCTATGCAGATAGCAGCCTGGAGTCGGCGATAACGCTGTTTGCCCTTACTCCCTCACGCTATCAGGTAGGTATGGACACAACAGCCAGGCTTGAGTGGTTGGTGTGTACGATGATGAAGTGCTCCTCTTTGTACATTATTTATACACGACCTGGGTTGACCCAGTTTACGATACCACTATGAATAATCACATGGACTGGACACTGCATATCATATCAACCAACAGCGATTGATTAAATATAGCCATGTCCAGCCGGGACATGGCCAATGTGCCACTGAGCCCGCCTCTTCAAAGCCCTGTTTGCTCTGTAGTGTAATTGAGTAATTGAATAATTAAATTGCTCTCATTACACATCAAGTAACATCAGCTGACCAGCAGCACATTGCTTTTGAAGAGGTGATCTCGGTGGCATAAGGGCCATGTCGTCCTAGCACTGTCCCTCCTGGGCATGGTGACAAGAGATCAATCGTTGTTGTTCAGTCTGTTATACAGGTAAACAATGCATTCGAATGAGTTCAGCTTTTGTAATATTATCCATTTTTTTGTATATCCATTCCATTATATTACATAAATACCACTTCTCATAGGAGACATGGGTAGTGATGTCATCTCCATCGCATCTATTTCTAAACAAACAGAAATCGTTTTCCGTTTTATTATTAAAAACCCCATTGTCTCCATATAATTACTATAGTGTATATAGAGGGTATAATGAGAGTGCCATCTCTCAAACTATTCGATCCCACTCCAATCGATGTCAGTGTGCATGTTAAACTGCGGCATGGTATCTCAATGGGCTGGCACTAGTACAAGCAGGGGGCACGGGTGGCCCAGTCGTCTGAGGCGCCGCAATTCGCTGTGCAGAGTTGCATCCCGGTTCGCCCCGATTATGTTTCTAGGTTTGTCAGTACCATACCCGTGCTCACTCACTACTACAAGCACACGCACGCACACGCACACACGCACACACACACAGACACACACACACACGCGCGCGCACACACGCACACACACACACACACACACACAGACACACACACGCACACACACACACACGTGCATGCAAGTTGTGACAAGTGATCTGCGAATAGCTCATGTAGTTTTGTTTATGTGACAGGATATGAAGCTTGTTGATGACGTAATCTTAAACTAACTTTGCAGTAAAGTGAAATATATGGCGGAGAGGAAGCATGTTTCAATATTATGTTCGATAAATTAGTCCAATCCAGTTGATATTATCACTACATGAAGGCATTGTTTACTAAGTTGGGTTCTGGCTTCCATATTAGAATAGATGTATGTTTAGCTTAAAACTAGTGACATCTGTTCAGGGTTATTAGCTCAACCTACCCAAACATTTTCATATACATGCATATTTATATGTTTGATTCATCGCAGTGTAGGTTAAGTTGGGGAGGTCTATACAATGTCTATACGTCTATACAAACGTGTGTGTGTGTGTGTGTGTGTGTGTGTGTGTGTGTGTAACGTTGCCTAATCACGCACAGCAGTACTCCTGCGATCTGTAGACACACCAGACAATCAGGTGATGGATCAGAAAATTCAGTGACACGATGGCGTATTTACTGATTTTGTTGACACTTAACACAATATATTAATTTTAAATTACGTCAGCTGTGTGAAAGTGCGGACATTCTGCTGCTTATAAGTAAGCAGTGGCAGGAAGTGTGCATGTGCAAATGTCCATAAGGCACATGTTGTCTGTATCTTCCTTCTGCATGTGTAGTAACAGCATGATGTTGTTGAGACGTTGCTGGGTCATGGTACTTCTAAGGTGTATTTTAGTCTCCTAGAACATGATCTTGCAGTAGAGACTGGTATTGCCAGGTAAATCTTCAGTAGCTGTGGAATGCACATCAAAACTCGACAGCATATACCCGATTGTACCAGCAATGTAACTTTAAACAAGTTAATCAAGCATTCCCTCTCTTTCGACACAGATGAAATGATTTGTGGAAGCATCCGCCATTGTACCTGAAGACTTTGGAAATCATTATCTTCTTTGAACGGTCAGAAATGGATAATGGGACAGTGGCAAATTACCAAGTTTTAAAATGGCATAAAAGCATACTTTCATTTGTATCAACATAGTTCTTTATTTCGAAATAACTTTTATAATTTTGTTTCTGTACACACTTGTTTTCTAAGTTAATCAAACTCATCATAAAATTCATTTGCAGTTGACATTAAACATTTCGTATTTGCACTAGTGTATCAACAGAACGCCTACTATGCGTGGGTCAATGGGCGTCAGTAGGAACATGGAGACTAACGTTAATATGTGTAGTACGCTATACCTGGAAGACACCATCATTAGCTGAAGACTGCGTCTTTAGGGAGAAAATTCCGGATGATCAAAATGCTATGTTGTATACAACTGTTGAGGATTCGAGAACACGTGCAAAATGTCACAGAAGATTTTACACATCCGATGTTATTTCGATGTATACATGTCAGTGACTACATTGCACTTTCAAAGAATGAATCATAATGAAAATGTACAAAAGCATGTATTTAAACAAAAATATCCTAATAACAGGTTTTTACGTATTGGCTATGTGATTATATTTTTTCATCTATAAAAAAACTGGGGCTGGGGAGGGGTTGCGGAGATCCGACGCTTATGCAGTACAGTTCCTTAATGTTCAGTGTTGGGAAGCTGAACGCTTCAGACAGTAGAATGGCGATTTCACAAAGCGTGTGAGTGAGTTAATATTAACATTCTGCATGTTTCGGTCATATAGCGACCAGTTTCACGAGGCAAATCTGCCTGTTTCCAGAAAGTCTTCTTTACTTTTCCACCTCACGCATTGATGTTTTCAGAAGCTGTACAGTTCAGGCAAACCCGGGGGAGGAGGAGGCGGGGTCGTCGGAGGAGGAGGTGGGGTCGGAGGAGGAAGGACGGGGGACAGTCTCAACCAGGTGTATCACAGTCACCTGGCCGCAAGCCTCAAGGCCTTCCAACACAAACAGTGGCTGCCTCTCAAACATGACGAGTTCGAGCCCACAATCACCCGATGCAGGCCCATCAGCGGAAGGGCCGACAGACGGTACGTGGTATACACAAGGTGTTAGTGGTAATTTTACAAAATAAAAACATTTGGTTGGTTGTTTGCTGTTTAACGCCGAACTCAGCAATATTTCAGCTATATGACGGCGTTCTGTAAATAATCGAGTCTGGACAATCAAGTGATTGACATCACGACCATCGATCCACGCAATTAGGATACGATGACATGCATCAACCAAGTCAGAGCCTGAACACCCGATCCAGTTAGTCGCCTCTTACGACAAGCATTTTGAATCGCAGCCTTAAGTGTGAATAAATCACTCAATTGTATTGATATACCAGCTTAATCGTACTGCGAACAAGTTCCATATCACTGGTGAAAACTAATCCGAAATATTGTTGTGCCTGACTTGCCAGTTTGGCTTTAATAATAGTCGGGGTCCGCCAAATAGTTTTATCATTATTTCAGACCCCCATCAAGTCGGCCATCAAGCGCCGTGCCAAAGCCCCCTCAGCGACCACGATCCGTGCCCCCGGGGGCATACCGCCCCTCCTGTGGCCTGAGGACGAGCGAGACCCTTGACGTAACCCCGGGAGATTTCGATACCCTGAGCCCCAATGTCCTGGCCGACCTCCTAGGGAGGAGCCGAATCACTCCCCACAACTTTGGGGACAGAGTTAAAGATGATGATGTGAGCACCAGTGGGATAGACAGTCCCAACTCCGATAATCATGATTCTTCGTCTGACTCTGACAGCGAGCCCGAGCCGCCGGTAGATAGCAATAGACCGGTGCCCCAACTACAACTGCGACCAGAAAAGTTGGATGCCATCTATGTGCCTGAGGATCGAAGGGACAGACGTAGGTTCGACTTCGACGCCGAGCATGTTGACATTCCTGCTTACGAGTTTGAAACGACCTTGCCTGAGCCATTTGGTCGTTTAGATCTGAAGGTGATAGCACGCCAGAAATACGACTGGCGGGACATACTGTCAGTGAGGCCCATGGCCAAGGCCGTTGAGACAATTCTTGACCGTTTAGTGGACATTGAGAAGCTTCAAAGTGAAACGGTCGAATGGGAGACCAAGAGATTGCGACAGAGGACCAAACAAAGAGTCCCAAGTGCTAAGTCACGTGACAGGCGGTGCTGTAACAACTGCCTTCAGCCTGCATGTGTTGGGGACTGTCCCGAAAAGGCACTGCAGCCAAATACTTGCACCCTGTGCCGCCAGCAACTATGTACCGGAAGTTGTCATGACAACAGGTACGAAGCCTACATGAGGCAAGTTCATCAAGAAGAACAGATCGAATCAATTCTCAGCAATCCCGTGCCCCGTATATGCATCACGTGCCAGAAGAAGCATAACGCCAAACTCATCAACGCTAACAACGCAATCTTACGACGGCCCAAGTCAGGCAACACAACTTACAGTCGAGGACGTGGTTCCGTCAAACCCCGTGACCTGCGACCTCGCTCTGTAACCGACGTGACCAGTGAAATCATCAAAGACATTGAGAAGCTTGGCGTGGAGCCCCTACAGCCGGGTCGGCCCAACACAGGCAAGTATCAGCGACCAAGGAGCAGGAACTCACTACTGCCAGGGAAGTCATACTTCTCCAATAGAAAAGACTCTCTCACTGAACTTGAAAAGGCGAGAAAAAGAAAACTTAGATCTCTCCGTGTAAAGCGGCCTAAAAGTGTTGTCTGATGTTTATTAGTCTTAGGTCGCAAATGTACGTTATAACTTGTTGTAACTTATGCGCTTTATGTTAAAGCTTGCTTTTGCGAATGTAAATATAACGCCACTTGTCAATTTCTAAATAAACAGAAAGTAGTATACCGAAAATATTGTCATTGTTAAGACGCTGTATTGTTAAACTGATGCTGAACTCTTATGATTAACATGCTTCTGTGGCATATACCGAAACATATCATGGTCACCTTACCATGATGCATTACCACAACAGTACTGAATATCATGATCAACGTACCATCATACATACCACAACAGTACTGAATATCATGATCAACGTACCATCATACATACCACAACAGGACTGAATATCATGATCAACGTACCATCATACATACCACAACAGTACTGAATATCATGGTCACCTTACCATCATTAAACCACAACAGTACTCAATATCATGATCAACGTACCATCATACATACCACAACAGTACTGAATATCGTGATCAACTTACAATCATACATACCACAACAGTACTGAATATCGTGATCACCTTACTATCATACATACCACAACAGGACTGAATATCATGATCAACGTACCATCATACATACCACAACAGGACTGAATATCATGATCAACGTACCATCATACATACCACAACAGGACTGAATATCGTGATCAACGTACCATCATACATACCACAACAGGACTCAATATCATGATCAACGTACCATCATACATACCACAACAGGACTGAATATCGTGATCAACTTACCATCATACATACCACAACAGGACTGAATATCACGATCAACGTACCATCATACATACCACAACAGGACTGAATATCGTGATCAACGTACCACCATACATACCACAACAGTACTGAATATCACGATCAACTTACCATCTTACCTCCCACAACAGTACTGAATATCATGATCAACTTACCATCATACATACCACAACATTACTGAATATCATGATCAACTTACCATCATACATACCACAACAGTACTGAATATCATGATCGACTTACCATCATACATACCACAACAGGACTGAATATCATGATCAACTTACCATCATACATACCACAACAGTACTGAATATCATGATCACCTTACCATCATACATACCACAACAGTACTGAATATCATCATCAACTTTCCATCATACCTCTCACAACAGTACTGAATATCATGGTCACCTTACCATCATACATACCACAACAGTACTGAATATCATGATCAACTTACCATCATACATACCACAACAGTACTGAATATCGTGATCACCTTACCATCATACATACCACAACAGTACTGAATATCGTGATCAACTTACCATCATACATACCACAACAGTACTGAATATCATGGTCACCTTACCATCATACATACCACAACAGTACTGAATATCGTGATCAACTTACCATCATACATACCACAACAGTACTGAATATCATGATCAACTTACCATCATACATACCACAACAGTACTGAATATCATGATCAACGTACCATCATACATACCACAACAGGACTGAATATCATGATCAACTTACCATCATACATACCACAACAGGACTGAATATCATGATCAACTTACCATCATACATACCACAACAGTACTGAATATCATGGTCACCTTATCATCATACATACCACAACAGTACTGAATATCATGGTCACCTTACCATCATACCTCCCAAAACAGTACGGAATATCATGATCAACTAACCATCATACATACCACAACAGTACTGAATATCATGGTCACCTTACCATCATACCTCCCACAACAGTACTGAATATCATGATCAACTTACCATCATACATGCCACAACAGTACTGAATATCATGATCAACTTACCATCATACATACCACAACAGGACTGAATATCATGATCAACGTACCATCATACATACCACAACAGTACTGAATATCATGGTCACCTTACCATCATTAAACCACAACAGTACTCAATATCATGATCAACGTACCATCATACATACCACAACAGGACTGAATATCATGATCAACTTACCATCATACATACCACAACAGGACTGAATATCATGATCACCTTACCATCATACATACCACAACAGTACTGAATATCATGGTCACCTTATCATCATACATACCACAACAGTACTGAATATCATGGTCACCTTACCATCATACCTCCCAAAACAGTACGGAATATCATGATCAACTAACCATCATACATACCACAACAGTACTGAATATCATGGTCACCTTACCATCATACCTCCCACAACAGTACTGAATATCATGATCAACTTACCATCATACATGCCACAACAGTACTGAATATCATGATCAACTTACCATCATACATACCACAACAGGACTGAATATCATGATCAACGTACCATCATACATACCACAACAGTACTGAATATCATGGTCACCTTACCATCATTAAACCACAACAGTACTCAATATCATGATCAACGTACCATCATACATACCACAACAGTACTGAATATCGTGATCAACTTACAATCATACATACCACAACAGGACTGAATATCATGATCAACTTACCATCATACATACCACAACATTACTGAATATCGTGATCACTTTACCATCATACATACCACAACAGGACTGAATGTCATGATCAACTTACCATCATACATACCACAACAGGACTGAATATCATGATCAACTAACCATCATACATACCACAACAGTACTGAATATCATGATCAACTTACCATCATACATACCACAACAGTACTGAATATCATGATCAACTTACCATCATACATACCACAACAGTACTGAATATCATGATCAACTTACCATCATACATACCACAACAGTACGGAATATCATGATCACCTTACCATCATACATACCACAACAGTACTGAATATCATGGTCACCTTACCATCATACATACCAAAACAGTACTGAATATCATGATCAACTTACCATCATACATACCACAACAGTACTGAATATCATGATCACCTTACCATCATACATACCACAACAGTACTGAATATCATGATCAACTAACCATCATACATACCACAACAGTACTGAATATCATGATCACCTTACCATCATACATACCACAACAGTACTGAATATCATGATTAACTTACCATCATACATACCACAACAGTACTGAATATCATGATCAACTTACCATCATACATACCACAACAGTACTGAATATCATGATCACCTTACCATCATACATACCACAACAGTACTGAATATCATGATCAACTTACCATCATACATACCACAACAGTACTGAATATCATGGTCACCTTACCATCATACATACCACAACAGTACTGAATATCATGATCAACTTACCATCATACATACCAGAACAGTACTGAATATCATGATCAACTTACCATCATACATACCACAACAGTACTGAATATCGTGATCACCTTACCATCATACATACCACAACAGTACTGAATATCATGATTAACTTACCATCATACATACCACAACAGTACTGAATATGGTGATCACCTTACCATCATACATACCACAACAGTACTGAATATCATGATCAACTTACCATCATACATACCACAACAGTACTGAATATCGTGATCACCTTACCATCATACATACCACAACAGTACTGAATATCGTGATCAACTTACCATCATACATACCACAACAGTACTGAATATCATGGTCACCTTACCATCATACATACCAAACAGTACTGAATATCGTGATCAACTTACCATCATACATACAACAACAGTACTGAAAATCGTGATCAACTTACCATCATACATACCACAACAGTACTGAATATCATGATCAACTTACCATCATACATACCACAACAGTACTGAATATCATGATCAACTTACCATCATACATACCACAACAGTACTGAATATCATGATCAACTTACCATCATACATACCACAACAGTACTGAATATCGTGATCACCTTACCATCATACATACCACAACAGTACTGAATATCGTGATCAACTTACCATCATACATACCACAACAGTAATGAATATCATGATCACCTTACCATCATACATACCACAACAGTACTGAATATCATGATCAACTTACCATCATACATACCACAACAGTACTGAATATCATGGTCACCTTACCATCATACCTCCCAATACAGTACTGAATATCATGATCAACTTACCATCATACATACCACAACAGTACTGAATATCATGATCAACTTACCATCATACATACCACAACAGGACTGAATATCATGATCAACTTACCATCATACATACCACAACAGGACTGAATATCATGATCAACTTACCATCATACATACCACAACATTACTGAATATCGTGATCACTTTACCATCATACATACCACAACAGGACTGAATATCATGGTCAACTTACCATCATACATACCACAACAGTACTGACTATCATGATCACCTTACCATCATAAATACCACAACAGGACTGAATATCATGATCAACGTACCATCATACATACCACAACAGTACTGAATATCGTGATCACCTTACCATCATACATACCACAACAGGACTGAATATCATGATCACCTTACCATCATACATACCACAACAGTACTGAATATCGTGATCACCTTACCATCATACATACCACAACAGGACTGAATATCATGGTCAACTTACCATCATACATACCACAACAGTACTGAATATCATGATCAACTTACCATCATACCTCCCACAACAGTACTGAATATCATGGTCACCTTACCATCATACATACCACAACAGTACTGAATATCGTGATCACCTTACCATCATACATACCACAACAGTACTGAATATCATGATCAACTTACCATCATACATACCACAACAGTACTGAATATCATGATCAACTAACCATCATACATACCACAACAGTACTGAATATCATGATCAACTTACCATTATACATACCACAACAGTACTGAATATCATGATCACCTTACCATCATACATACCACAACAGTACTGAATATCATGATCAACTTACCATTATACATACCACAACGGGACTGAATATCATGGTCACCTTACCATCATACATACCACAACAGTACTGAATATCATGATCAACTTACCATCATACATACCACAACA